AAAAACAACAGGATAAGTAACATCGGAAAGCTTAATCCATCCTACAAGTGAAACGTAAAATAAAAGGTGGAAAAAGAATAATTACGGCCATACTCAAACACTCTACACGAAATATTAAAAAAAAAATACAGTAAAATCAGCTATAATTGCACCGGAAACATGACACATATAATAAAAAAGCACATCAGGAAAATAATCAACAAAGCATTCGCACAAAGCAAAGCCGAGTGTAACTGCAGAACAAAGAACGAATTTCCTGAAAACGGTATTTCTTCATAGAACAATGCAATACACTGATGCCCTGAAAAGTAAGCAGATAAAGAAGAAAATATATATATAACAAGGACCCTGGAAATAAAGGAAAAACATACACTGAATATCCTTTACAAATAGTAAAATTTCGAACAAAATAATTACTTTTTAAAATATATGAGATATTAAGAACAACCCCCCCCCAAAAAATAAAAACAAATGACACCTAAAATATCATGGAAAATAAAGAAAAGACTAGCAGCCAAAATAAATAGATTCGAAAGCTGTAAACTCTGCCTGGGAGAGAAATTAACTATAACTAACTTCCCAGTTAAAAAAATAAATACTAAATAAATTATCAAAACATATCTCAAAATGCAGGCACGAAAGAAAATTGCTAGAAATTTAGTAAAATTCAAAAATAAAAAATAAATAAGAAAAATAAACGAAAATTCGTAAAATTTATACAGGCCAATAAAAAAATAATAAATATTTGAATAATAAAACAATTTAACAAGCGATGAAAGCACAAGTAAACATAATAATATTAACAAACAAAAGATAAACTAAAATGAATGTAATAAAGCAAACAACAGTATATGTTGCCCCAAAATGTATTTGGAGGCATTTAAAAGCCCTAGAATAATTTGAAACATAACCGTTAATACCCACAAAAACGACCGCTAGAAAATTCAATAGACTACCGACAATCCATCATCGGACTGTATATACAAATAATTGAGGAAAAAAAACATATGTAGCCTGATGATTGCGTATAAGAATGAAGCAGACAGTCGGATTTGGGTGTTAAATTCAATGTCCACTTTTATGTTTGCATACGCTCTGTCCCCGATATTGAGCACAATAACTCATATATATATATATATATATATATATATATATATATATATATATATATATATATATAAACAAATATATTTATAACTTAAAGGAGAATGTATATTTGATTGAATAATCTGTTGCTCTTTGAACATGGTTACAACGATATTTTATACACAAATTAATTTTGTTTTTACTGAATGTTTTTTCTTTTCCTTTGTATAATTTATTTGCAATTGCTGGGTGCACTCAGTGCTTCTGTGTGTGTACGAAAGCATTTGTCGCTACAGTATTCAGGTTTGAGTAGATAAAAAGTGTCCATTACAAGTAATATGTGTACATTGATAAGATGGGTGCATGTTTGTATTCCGTCAGTAGATATGACGCATCCTATGGTAAATTATTCCATTTTGCTTTGTGGTCATTTGAAGGACAACTGAACTCAATGACCACAAAAAAATGTCACTGCACAGATATTCACACATACACAGATACACACACACACATATATATATATATATATATATATATATATATATATATATATAGAGAGAGAGAGAGAGAGAGAGAGAGAGAGAGAGAGAGAGAGAGAGACTTTGGTAGACACACACACACACACACACACACACATATATATATATATATATATATATATATATATATATATATATATATATGGCAAAAATCTTTCGGCATTTTTATGAATTTTTCACAAAAATAAATTAATCTGATATATTTTCAGTTCTATATTTTTTGTCGTTTATGAATGGCTTCAGGTTAACAGAAATTGAAATGTCTAAGTTCATCTTCGTTTATCTATCTGCATGAAAATATGCATCCACATACAGATACAAAAAACACACACACAAACTAGCATATACATATATATATATATATATATATATATATATATATATATATATATATATGTGTGAAAAGTGTATATAAATATAAATAAATATATATATGTATAATTATTTATATATTATATGCGCGTTACTTATATATAATTATGAATTACTCTCTATATATCATACATTTATATCCGAAATACACGGCGTGTAAATGCTTATATCTTTCTTTAATTTCAAATATAATATGTGTGTACAGATTTCATGTTACAATTTACATACACCTGTGTTACACCAATTGTTATATTAAGGATTGAACAGATGTAACTTAGAAATAATTATCTTAAAGGAATTCTTCAAGGTTTTTATAACACTATCTGATTCTAGTTTGAACAATACGAATGTACTTAGCTTAAAGTTGAAATGAGTTCCCTCTTGCTGTTGTGACCTCCTGATTTAGTTTCCCTCTCAACTCTTCCCTCTTTTTTAAACATATGAACAGTTTTCTTGGCTGATCTTTAATGGATTTTGAAGATGGAAGATAGTGTATGAATGCTGGTACCATAACTGAAGTTCTGAAATATTTTCCTCTCAACATTGCTCATTTGGGAAGTCATACGTAGGCTGACAAATGTAACCATTTCTAGCTGAAAACCTCAAAATATTTTTCGGTGATTTTTATGACAAAAGGTGTCAAGATGGTTAAACGTCTTATCTGAAAATCTGTAAAACATTTTTTTTATTTTATTTCGGATATTAATCATCCCATGATGTTACACAATATGGATAATTTTGATGTTACATCTTATATATAGATGTGTTTGCACAAAGCCATGCCCTACGAATACGCAAAAGTGTATATACATACATACATACATACATATATATATATATATATATATAAATATATATATATATATATATATATTACAGTAGAATCTATTGTATTCGGGTTGTAGATGATTATTTAAGTATATATCGTTGAATATAACAGACAATGAATGTCTATTATATCTGATCATGAGCTGGTCAGACGTTGGTATGTTCGTATGTTTAATTTCGGGTGAAAATAAAAACGAGAATTGTCCAAAATTGTTATATCTTTTTAAGTTGGTACATGATTTAAGCCGTCTGCTCAGACGAGCCATCTTCAGTGTCGTTAGACGGACATTTTAACAAAGATATTAATCATCGAAGATGATATTTTTTTATGTTGACATAGAAGATTGTCATACGGCGATAACGATTGCGGAGTAGCAGACGCAGGTCGTAAGTTCAAGGCTCGGTTCTATGATTCGTCATACCACGCGAGAGGCTGAAAGATTAAATACAGAATCATATTTCAAGATGCAAAAGTAAAAGACTGTTGAAATCTGAGGGAAAATAATGAGGAAAATGGATTGTTGAATTTAACATTTAAGTGACATGGAAGAAGCAGAAGAGAAATCTGGAACAGCAGAATCATCGTAACAAGTTTGTTTAAATATTATGACAGTATCATTGAATGATAGACAGCATAGCAAGTAGAGAGGAAAATTAGATTTAGAGGTTACAACAGGAAAACGGATCATCATTTCAACTTAAATGTTAAAAAATTAGCCAAGAATACGAATTTGGATTCTTTCAGGAATATCACGGTGTAGCGTTGACTAGATGTGGTAGCAACATTTGATGTGCAAATTAGATGCTGGCACAAATAAAAATTGCTTGTCACGCCATACTGAACAATCATTTCTTTGAGCAGAACGAGTAACTGATTTAAAGTAATCAGTCCATATCTTATCATTTGAACACGTGATAGGTATAAGTGAAATAGGTTGCTTTCCAATAAGTTTGCATCAGTCATGATGACCGAAGGGGGGAAATATTGTCTAAGTTGATTAAGTGAAATCTGTTTTTTTTTTGCAGGCGTTAAAAATAAGAAGACTGGCCCTCTGCGTTCGTTGATTGTATTTATGTTGTCTTTTTATGATTTATATGTGTATATATGTCTAACTGACACTGACACACACACTCACATATATATACATATACAGTGTAACCCGGATATAAGAGACCCGGATATAAGAGAAACCCGGATATAAGAGAGATTTTCTCTGGTCCCGTCCTCCCCGATATAAGAGAGTTCGTTTTGAGTGACAGTGTGATGTCGTAAATCGGTCAAACAGAGGTCAGTTAGAGAGAGAGTGAAGTTCAATGACTTAATCTTGACTAGTCTAGAGACACGGTGTGTCCAATCTGTGTCTGTAGGAGACACCCTCTACCTTATGATTTTGCTTTGTGTGTCTAAGGGTAGCGCCGCCCGCTTTTTTGCCGACTTTGCTTGTCGTTGCATTTACTGGACGGCACTTTCACTTTACCCACTGTTCTGTTGAGTCAGAAGTTTGTCTGTTTGTTAATCTTGCCACTGAAAACCGTTTGCTTGCGATCATTGTGATTAGTGATGTGGGCGTCGGCGAAACAACGAAAAACTCTGAGCATTTCTGAACAGTTGGAGGTCATCGACGATGTCAAAGTGAAGAAACTCAAAGTGGCCGCTGCAGCCAAAAAGTACGGAATCGGTTATTCAACAGCAGCAAAAATTCTCAAAAAAGAAGACGATCTCAGATTTTGCATGCAAATGAACGGAAACACTAATCGCAAACGAAAGCGCCAATCCGTGCACAGGAACGTTAACGAAGCGCTTACACAATGGTTTACGCAAACATGTGCTCATGGAGCTACCGTCACCGATCACGTCATCAGGCAGAATGCATCACAACTGGCCGTAAATCTTTAAGTTGATTTTGAACCGAGCAATGGCTGGCTCATACGCTGGAAGCAGGCAAATAACGTTTCGTTCAAAAAATTTCACGGCCAATCAACGTCAGCAAATCATGGTTCTGCCAACGAATGTGATACATACGTTTTTCCGCAACTTTTCGTGGATATGATCCAAAAGATATTTGGAACTGTGATGAAAGGGGAATTTTCTACAAAGCCACGCCGTCTCGATCTTTGCGATTTGCCGGCGACGAACAGTCAAATGGGACAAAAGTTCCCAAAGACAGACTCACGATGCTTCAGTTCGCAAACATGGACGACAGTGAAAAGCAAGCTGTAGTTGTTGGTAAGTCGGCAAACCCACGCTGCTTTAAAAATGTCAAAACTCTGCCGTTTTCTTACTTCGCTAATCGTAAAGCCTGGATGACTAGTCAGCTGTTTACTGACGTTATGAAAACGCTTGATCGAAAAATGATTGCTCAAAATCGAAAGATTATTCTGTTTTTGGACAATGCAACTTGTCATAACTTACTGCCGGGTACAAATCTGTCAAGCATCAAATTGTCGTTCATGCCACCAAACACCACCGGTCTCATTCAACCTTTGGATCAAAGCATCATTCGTTCATTCAAAGCGTATTATCGTCGGGAACTTGTTCGAATGCAAATCGCAGCGATCGATGCTACACCGCCAGTGCCGCTGTCCGAGGTGGCCAAGCAGATAACTGTTTTGAAGGCAATGCACATGATGAAGCGAGCATGGTCAAACCGTCAACAATTCAAAATTGTTTGAAAAAGGCCGGCTTTGTCATTGAATCACAGGTTGAAGTGGAAGAAATACTCGACGAAAATGATCAAGTGTCTCCACCATCGGGCATGGAGCAAACAGATTTTGACGAATTTATCAGCTTCGACGACCGTACACAATGTTATGGAGAACTGACTGACACGGACATCACACGTGGTATAAAATCGGATGATCAAGATTTTGACGAAGATGATGATGCTGAAAGCGTAAGTTCTGAAGTTTCTGAAAGTGACAAACCAGTGACAAATTCTCTGGCTGCATTGAATGCACTTGAAACTCTGACAGCCTACATTGAAGCAAAAAGCAGTAATCTTGATGGCACATTGAAAATGATTTACGGACTGTATGAAAGTGTTCATGAGGTTAACAAAGAGATTTCTGTACAATCAAAAATGACTGACTTTTTTAAGAAAAAGTAATTTTTGATTGAATTATTTTGAAAACTGATTGAAAAATGTATTTTTTGTCTGTGTTTTTATGTCTATAACTGTTAAAAACTAGTGTTCTGTAAAAAAGTGTAGTGTTCTGTACGTAAAAAAAATAGACGTTATATGAAGTGTTCCCATACTTACCTAAACAAAATAGACCAACCATGATATATAAGAGTAACACACGAATATAAGAGACTTTTTCTCCGGTCCCAAATGGGGGGAACTCTCTTAACCATTCATATCTTGAATCCGGGTTAAATATAAAACCACTTTACATGTAAAAATAAAAAAATATATATATATATAATAAAAAATATATATATCATTGATTAGATTCAAAAAAAACAGACGCTACAATAATCCACATGATATGATATATATAAATCCTCTTCTCCCTCCAGCACATGGGTAAATAAGTTCAAACCTGCGGAGGGTCGTTTGGGGACACACAGATAAATGGTCTTTGTAGAACGTATAATATATGTAAATCCCTTCAAAAAATCGTGATTGGTTCTTTCGAACAAAACCTTCACCACTGTAAAAATATAACATCACATATATATAAAGGAAAACTGGTGTCATAAATATATATATATATATATATATACTATATACATACATATAGTTCCTAGGAACTGAGTTGCATTGACAGTCATATATATATATATATATATAAACACACAAACTATCGAATACGACGGGAGAGTTCACCATATATTCAGTATGATCTAGAAATGGGATTTTTCATTTACAGAATATACTAAAACTCTTTTGCAAGGATTATCATAGCTTTCATATAACATAGAGAATATAAAAATATAAAAATGGTTCAATTGTACAAATAGTTCACATACACATTTTTCAGACAAAATAAATGAAGGTGGTATGCATTTATTATATTGTTCAGAAAGGTAATACAGACATTTAATATATATATATATAGACTTATTTTACATAAATTGCAGAAGCAGATGGCACACACACATGCCTACCTACTAAAATATACATATACACAATCGCCTTTTACATAAATATTCATATCAAAATCAGATCATGTATGAATTTGACTCATTCTAGCATCCTTCCTTTAGCTGAGGGCGAAGAATCCGTTTTTAGCCCAAACAATCTGCATAGGTAATTTAATTTACACGTATTTATTTTAACCAACATTTAATCTTCTTTTTATTTTTAATTCTCCAAGTCATTAACCCCCCGAAATGTAAATGTCTGCATCTGCATTCCAATGTTGTTGTTTTTCATCTCACGCATCTGCCATTGCTTGAGATGAACATTTGTTAACACGAATTTTTCTTTGTGTAATGATAAAAAAAAATCTCTACTAAGTGGGTTAGTTTCAGGGTTGGGGAAATATGTTAAAGAATTTATGAATTTTTAAAATCTATAATTCTTAACTAGGGTTTTTATATTGAATAGTGAATTAACGGTTCTTGTTTATTGAAAACCTCAATCACCGAGGAAGGGCATTCGTCAGTGGTAAAATATTGTTAGCAGTAGATGTTTATGCTAACTATTGTCCTAAGACCTTCCTTAAATACCCTATAAATCATTTTCCTAATACGGTCTACCTTAATTTTAGTTGAGTTTTTAACAACAATCCATCACACTACACACACACATTATATATATATATATATATATATATATATATATATATATAAATATATATATGATGAATTCCAATAACCAAATAACATTTTCCCTTATATCGTATGTTGTTAAACCAGTTACTATTCTTAAAAGAGCGCTCAATACAGAGTAGAGTCATATATAATTATTTATTTGAAAAAAATTATAACATAAATATTTACTGTTATTTTTTTTTTTATTTTTTTTTGGTAGCTTCTGGACTTCTCAATATATATATATATATATATATATATATATATATATATATATATATATATATATATATATATATATATATATAAAATACCGTATTTTAATTTAAATAAAAAATAAAACAGACGATCTTTTTGGTTTTAATGTTTTAATTTTAATAATTTATTACATGGAACCTTAAAGTGGTCTGTTTTTATTTAAATTATTCTGCCTTTGAATTTACATTGAGGACTCTTTATTTTATCATCTTCTTAGGTATACTGCATATATATATATATATATATATATATATATATATATATATATATATATATATATATATATATATATATATAATTTATATGTATTTAGGGGGAAATCAATCCTTTATACCTGTCACATAAAAACCTGCGACTTTGGAGGAAAGTACTGTGAATTTGTTTTCTCGAACAAAGCCTTCATTTAATTTATTTTTGCTCATTTAATATTTTCTGGACATAATGTGTGTGAAAATTGGTTAAATGTTTTGCATTTCTGAGCGTGTTTAGCCGTTATCAAGAGAGATTTTTATTTTTTAAATTGTTAAACTGGATGTATGGATTTGTTTTTTGTATGTGTCTAGAATTGCGGGAATATTTTATTTAACAATGGGTCCGTTTTTAGCCCAAAATAGTTTATAGTTTTTATTCTCCAAGCCCCCGAAAGTCTGCATTCCAAATGATTTTCCGAACACTTATAAATTTGTTCACACAATTTTTTCTATGTCCAAGAAAAAGAATTTATGCAATAAACGCTCAAATACGGTTCTTCTTCAATCACCGACATTCTATCTATCTATCTATCTATCTATCTATCTCATCTATATATATATATATATATATATATATATATATATATATGTGTATATATATATATATATTCAGACAGGTTTCATTAAATAATGTACCTTATTTTCGATATGATCTTTTAATTATTTATTTGAAAAATAACCTTTTTTTTTTAAATAAATAATGCGGTATATTATATAACGAGATATAAAATATCGTGTTGACTCATATTATATATTTATTCCGAGTAAAATTTCGACACTTTAATGTAAAATGGTTATTTGTACCTTAAAGTGCATAATGTCATCATCACGGGATTATATTAAATATAGATATAAGTATTCTGTTTCCATGGTTGGGTTTTATTTAATTTATTTTGTGCATTTAATATTTTCAAAATTGTTGTGGTCATCTGAAGATTATTATTTTTATATATGAAATCACGAACGCTGTGTCGTTGCTGGTTGGCAGACACCGTTTAAATGGGAGAAAAAATATCGGCCCTTATAATGAGTACGTATACCCTAGAAATGAAAAATAAATATGAGTCAACACTATCTGTTTTCCTCTCGTCCTTATATATATATATATATATATATATATATATATATATATAACTGTATGATCTTTTCACATGAATAACCTTTTTGTGCGGTGGTTTATTCATCGCGAATATGAAAAAATTTGAGAATATCGAAAATTTTTATATAAAATCAGAACGATTACAATTTAATTTAAAATCCGCCTGAATGAAAACATGCTGCCTTTAACAACTGAAATTATTCAGACAAAAATTAGTATTATTTAATAAAATCCGCCTGAATATATATATATATATATATATATATATATATATATATATATATATATAGTTATGAGCAAATGACAAAAGAGAAACAGTGGATCTAAAGTGTGCAACCTGTGATTACAAGAGGTACGGACCTGTAGAATACACACTGTAACTCGAAATAATCATTTTTCATCTTTCTACTTTCTTGTCTTTCTACTTTCTGGTCTTTCTACTTTAACTCTAACCCTCTCCATGCAGGATGTTGGTGATTATGCTTCTCCACAGATTTCTGTTTTTGGTAGCTTTTAATAAATTTATATGGTTGATATCTCTCCTAAACCCTGTTCTGTCATCCATGTTATGGATTGTTTTCGTTTGTCCTTCTTGCATTAAACCTGTCCTGTAAATATCAATTTTCCAAGCCCTCTTTCTTTAATAGCCTCAGAAATTTCAACTCTAAAATTCTAATATTATACTGCTCTACTTGTTTTGTGGTTTTTGCTCACATAATCTATAAAATTTCGTCGCTGTTCATATGTTAACTTCAAGTCTCTTCTTCATTTGCGAGAAAAGCACAGAGCTGCCGTCGCCTCCATCAGTCTTTTTTACAAATACTTTCATGGTAATTGCTCCGATGAGCAGCTTTCGCTGGTTCCCAGACTTCATGAATTACACCCTTCAACTAAACTGGCATCTCGTTCTCACACTTTCACTGACGAAACTGTTAAATATAACCGTCTATTCTACGCCAATAGCTTCATGTCTCTCACATCTCGCCTGTGAAACTACCTCCCCTTTACCTGTCTGCCTGATATCTATGTTTTCCAACTATTCAAATGTAATATAATGTCAATCGAAATCTCCAAATGCCTCGATCTATCCCCTATTCTTCTTTTCATCCTTTCCTCTATACCTCCTATTTTCTCTCGCTTCGATTCTCCGTCATCCCTTCCGTGCTAGTGGCTTCCCGCCTTGCTTGGGGTGAAAAAAAAATTTCTTGTATTCAGAAATATTGATATTTCGTAATAGTTCAGAACACTATTCTTTGTTTCAAATTTATTTCTCCTGTTTCTTAAGATTTTGCTGAACTTTTGTAGG